GCTTGAATTGTCCCAGCTCGCCCGGTGAAACACCACGACCACAGAGAAGACAGGCGTGAAGTGGATGCAGTTCCGCGTTTCGTCTGATGAGTGTGCGTCCCGATGGCCTAATTTAGTCCTCTTTCTCTTCATGAGAGGATGCACGGAAAGGGAAAATATTTTTTTTCTATGCATCCTCTCCTCCGTCGATTAAGGGTAGGCAACGCTTATGCAATTGCGTAAGTCTATGGGCAACGGTCACTTCGCTATTTCAGCGATTTCAGGTGGCCGCTCGCTCGTTTGGCACATAAAAAAAAGTTTTATGAAAGAAGTTGAGGCACATATTATATTTAAATATAATTCTACGATTAATATGTGATTGACTTCAAATGCTTAGTACCACCGATTGCTTCGATGAGTTTAATACGATAAATGAATAAATCAATAATTCTTAAATGATTTTGTAGAAAAATAATATAAGAGTTGAAGACATGAGATAGAACAGTTTTAGTTGTCCGACCGCAAACTAAATTACCCTCACCTGAGAGCACGTCGGGCTTCTTTCAATCGAACTTTAGTAACAACGTTTCACAAACTTTGAGATCTTTGTAACGAAATCACTTACAACATTGCGCTATTAAGTGAAAATATTTTATATTGAATTTTTTAAAAACAACTTTGTAGAAATTAAATCAAAAAGATAAGTACAAGTTATTAGTAAAGCAGAAAACGTATAGTGTCAATAACCGTGGGCTTCTGAGACCAAAGACCCAGTTTAAAACCGACAGGGATGACCATATATTTTATGCAGAATCTGGTGTCAGAAACCCACGGTTAGACATAAAACAGGTCTACAGAATGATATATTCAACACAATATGTTATCGAATTTTGTCTTTATTTAATAGTGATGTATATTATTGTATTAATTCGGTTCTACAGTAAATCCTTTAGCTTTGCCTTTTGAATAATCCAGAGAGACGTGACGGTATACGATATTAGGAGATTATAGAGTAACCATGTCTCAATTGTTTGCATCTATTAGATTAAGTGGTTCTTAATACTAAATTTACTTTCATATAATTATCAATATAAGACACTTATCACTATCTCAAAAGCCGACAACGCATCTGCGGTTCCTCTGGTATTGCTGATGTACATGGGCGTCGTTGAACACCTCGGTGTTCCCACTGCTCGTGTGCCCCATTCTGTTATAAAAAAACAATTAGACATCTATTAACCCCTCTCTGTTAAATTACATTTGTTTTATTCTGTTAATAATCTAAATAATATTTATTATAAATGCGGATGTACGGATGGATGGGTGGATATTTATTAGAAGGTATCACCATTTTGGCTGCATGGATCTCGCTTTTTTTTCTGAAATGTAATTTAATTTTGTTTTTTTATTTAGTTTTAAATATAACTAGATCGTACAAAGAATGATGGCATCATAAAGTTATAGACAGGAAAGAGAAATAATCACTTAATGCGCAATCACCTGATGTGTTTGAAGAGACAAGAACAGATTGGAGTTGTTTACAAATACTTTATTAAAAGTTCAATTTTTCAACAACTTTTGGAAGCAAAATTTTTTAAAGTTAATGAAGATTTTTTTAATTTAATTTGCACCTTCATATATTTTATAGCTGATAACTTCTAGAGAGCTTATTATTTTATTCATTAAGGTATGTAAATTTACGAAAATATAAAAGGATTACTAAAATAAAAGTAAAATGTTAGTCATTTGGTATGTTTTGTTATATACGAAGTAGGGTTGGATTTCTAGTATCTAAGATTATAAATTCATTAGAGGGAACGCAGAGACCTTTGTTTTTTTTCTCCGCGAAATCTTTAGGACTGAAAACAAACGGTTCACGATAAGACTTTATTTCTGTTCGGACGATAAATTACTGCTTGCCGGCACAATTTACAAGTTTTTGTTGCCGGCTCCCAACATTATCTAAGGCGTATTTTTAATTGTCAAGAACGAGTTTTCGTTCGAGATAAAGTTTCCTTTTTCCGGCAATAATAATAAATGTAAAAGTTTTTAATGTTCCTTGCAACTTGTTGTTCATGTTTTTTTTAATGGTAATCATGACACAAGCAAGCTGCCACTTAAATTACGCAATTGCAGATGTTAGCTACCTTTAACCGAGAGAGGAATGGCCGCACTGACAGAGGATACTTACCCTTTCTATGTTACCTGATCTACCGCTGGTTTTAGAGTCCAAAATCTCTGTATTACTTATATCGTTATTCCTGTTATTATCTTTGACAAAATAGATGTAACAATACGTTTTAATAGATTTTAATCTCAGAAACCCACGGTTAATTGTAAACGTTCAAATATTTTTTAATCGGTAGGTTGACATACATATCTCGGAACCTCATTAGTTTTATTTATTTTATATTCCTTCTACTTAAAATTGTCAATACTAAACTAAACATAAAAAGACCTAACGAATTTTGAAATAAGAAAGTATTATAAGAAAAGTCCTTAGAGAAGAATTTCTGTTGAAGTGCTCTTTGGATGGAAGCGAGCATCATACGAGCTATTATTACAGTTGGTTTGGGGCCAACTTTCTATTTGTGAGAACTTCCGAACCTGTTAAGGTGAGATAATATTATAATACTCAAGTGTTCACTTATCGACTCCTAGACTACTTGACTCTTAAGATACGAAGACATAATATTATTGTAATGCATTGTCTAGAAGAAATTTGATGATATGTGTGAAGTCAACCTGCACTGGGCTAGCGTAGTTGACTCAGGTCTAGTCTCTTATCTTTGTAAACTCCTAGACTCCCCGCGGAGACATAATTATGAACGGATAAAGCATTTTTAAAACATACTTTGATGATGTGTCTTCTTTAAAGCTGGCAAAAAATTTTAATTACCTAACCAATATATTATATTAAATTTTTTTATAATAATATATAATATTAAATTATTTTTTACAATTATTAATCAAGTGCTTGATCATATTCTATGATATATTTAGTACACTAATCTATAATTAATTAACGTATTTACAACTCATTGATATTAATAACAATATCTGTAGCTATTTATACACTATAGTTAGACTTTTAACATATTTCAAATTTTGTCCAGAATAGGCGAATTCGCCGGCTTCTTGACTCGAGCGTGATTTGTTTCATTTTTCCATCAAACTTAATTAATTCCCAAATGCTTACGCATTAGTATAATCGTTCTAAATGGAACTATCACACGTGATAGGCGCAAAAATCGCCGCGAATTCACCCCTTCTTCACTAGGTTTCAATTACATAAGCCCAATACGTAAGCGTAAAATTCCATTGTCTATTTTTGTGAAAAGGAATAGGATAGATGTTAATATGTTGGCATACAAATATTTCGATTGTGGAATCCCACATTTAGAATTACACGAAACAAAATAGGTTGATATCATGGATAAAAGTTAAAGCATCTGCAGAGCGCTAACCGTATCGAGCCTGTCTTCTCTGGATTTAATTAAGAATCGCTAGACTTTTAACGCCATTTATCTTTGTTTATCTTCTTATTTTATTGTCTCTGATCTCGTTCTGTTAACAGTATCGAAACGTTAACAATTTGAAATACCTCCTTCGATATCGATACCAGTTGTTACAAATTAAATTCTTATACATTATTAATTGTTATCTGATTTACGCAGAATGGATTGTCTGTCATAAAATAGTCCGACGTTCTGGTGTGATTTTAGCTTTCAGTGGACGAAAATAAAGGAAGTAAGATTTTAGTATCGATTATAATCTATCTGTGTTCTGCAATATATATTTCTGTAACTATATTGTTTTTATTTTTCGCAAGCTTTGTATTAAAGTGAATAAAGATAAGTATGACTAATAAGTAATTTTATTAGTAGAAATAATTAACTATCCACTACCGAACCTCTGTACAAAAACCTCTGGTGTTGTGAACGTTCAAGGGCGTCGTGATCACCTCAGTGTTCTCGCAGCTTATTTGCCTCCATCTCTTATAAAAGAAAATATTGTTATTTCAACTTTTTTAAAGATGAGTTGACGCATGTCATGCAGTCACTACCAACATAAAGCGTGTTTTAATGTTCTTAATGTTGGCAGTATACAGTATTAATTATGGGACAGTGGAATAATTATTTTTATAATATTTTGTAACATTCTTCGAAGAATTTATTATTTTAATCGATATCCTCCTCCTACCATATTAGGCATTGAACATTGCAGCGTCATACAAGATATATTCACGTCGAGAGATCGTACGTACTGACGTTTCGGAGTGATAAATGAAGCTACTGAACTGCACTGCAGTATTTCGTTTAACACATATGGTAATGCACCGTTATTACAGTTTGTGAGTTAAAATATACATGCATTATAATTTAAATTATTCAAACTTTCGTGAGACATTATACTAAACAGATATATAAAAATGACTAAACACTCACGTATATTCGTCCGGTGGCGGCACCGACTAGTTTCGAGCTCATCGGGGGCCCTTCATCAGGATGAGTGGTACTGGTATTATTTCGCGGACGCGGCCCGTCGCTCACTCATCCTGATGAAGGGCCCCCGATGGGCTCGAAACTAGTCGGTGCCGCCATCGGACGAATATACGTGAGTGTCTAGCCGTGTTTATATGTCAGTTCATTATAATTTAAGTTATTAATCAATCATCCTATCAACGTGGCGATCTTTGGGGGAGGACTATGCAGTGTCACGTGGCTGAGAAGAAAAAAAATAAAGTATTATAATAAATGCAAGAATGCTACTTATCCTAAATCCTTTGAAACTTACTTTGTAAATAATGAACTTATAAAAACATTTGATGTAAATCTTGTTTGATTAGTATTTTGTTAAATATTCGATATTTGTTAAAAACCTTAAACTTAAGAACTTAAGCTCCTTATCCTTTACTAAAATGTTTACGATGTATTTGTAATGAAAATTCCTTTCATATCGTTGGAAATAATAAAGGTATAAGAAACACGATAAGAAAACAAACAGTTCTAAATCTTAATGATATAATTTAATCAACTCGCTTACTTTTTAATAAGCTTTAATTTTCAAACATTAAAAATAATTAACAACGAACCAAAACTTAAACCATTATACAACACTTATGACTAGTATCACAATCGCTTGCATCTCTATAAATAAGTTTAGGGTTACAAAATTCAGTTGCCGGTAAACAAACTCCTCCGTGACGAGAGCATCTTGTATCTTTTACCGAAACTGTAAAAAAGAAAAAATAATAATTAAGTTAATGGCCAGTGACAATACTGACTAATATTGTTATCTCTATTTTGTCAAAGATAATGATAGAGATGAAGATATATTTAATACAGATGTTTTAAAATATAGGTACGTTAACCTAGAAACTTTTCTCTCAGATAGCACTATTATTAAATTCTAGTGTTCTGAACCTTTCCAGTCGAAGTGTGGATGAAATATGCTAATCTGTCTCTTTATAAGTTACTTTTAATTTAATAATATAGCAATAAAAGGTTGTGAAAATCAAGAGCCTGCTGCCTACAAGCGGAAACATCCTAGATTGAAGAAAAACGTCCACTTACTCCTTCTTTTTTAGGTATTAAACTACAAAGAACTCACCCCCGTAACAGCATTCAATCCCTTGATTTCTTTGTTTAGGACATAATCCTAATTCTTCAGTCAATTGGGGACAATCTTCAGCAATAGTGCAAATACCACCCTCAGAACTGCATGGAGATTCTTGCATTATATTGTCGATAACACGAACTGAAATAGTAAAGGCATTATCATATTTTGTTGTTGGCTGGTTTTCCTTATGCCACGGTGAGCTACGGAAAAGAAAACTAAAGATATGTTAAATTAGTAATTCACTCCTAATGCCTAGGTTCGTATAAGAGCGTAGGTTAAATCTAACTTGTATTAACCTTGTAATAACCTATTCTCTTCGAGACTTCGCGCATGTTTTATGCAGCCTTAGTACTATCCCGCTACCGAAAGTGCAATCGATGCGTTATTTAGTTTAGATAATTAATAACGTTACAATTAATACATCGATATCCATAATTTTCGACAGTATTAGTTAGAATAATTTAACGCGAATGATGTGCTTTCGTTACAAAGTCCAGTGTCAGAATGAATAGTGAGGGGACATAAACGTCGACATTCTAGTAAGGCTAGTGTTGCGTCATTACACTAGCATATTTTCGGATTTTCTTCCTAACAATAAGTAGATGTTATGTTGTGATAGAATATTAATTAAGTGATTTGATTCGTCACCTTACATCGACTTGTTTCAAAACACAATCGATAATTAATTCTAAACACACAGTGCTACGTTGCAAGTAGATTAATATCTTCTGACATATTATTAATACAACTAGTTTTTTGCACCTGGCTTCGTGTTTATGTTGGACGATACTTAATATCTAGATTCTTAAAATCATGTTAAATAAGTAAAAAATTATATTTAAAACTGTCTTAGTAAACTTGAACTTACGTTATTAAATAAATTTCAGTGTTATTTTATCAAATAAATGATAATTCATAAATAATAATATACATTTAAATTAACAAAAGAAAATAATGGAACAATGTATTAAAGAACTTAATTATAATAAAAGTTTATGACATAAATTATTTACAATTTATATATGCTACCATGTTTTAATATTTATTATAGTAAAAAGTTTGTATAACTTAAATACAAGTATAAAATTTATCTGTATATTCAATAAAGCAATATATATAGCAACTTGTTTAAAATTAATTACAATTCGTGATAGAAATTGATTCAAAAACATTAACAATTTTTAGTTATTTCAATTTACAATTAAAATAAAACGAAATGAATTAAAATAGAATCCATACTTACGGTCTTTGTTACAATGTGCTGTCACCAAAGCGAAAGCCACAAAAAATATTATTGATATATGCATAACGTATTCTCACGTGCACTCAGTTGTACCTCACTACAATGACTACTCGTATGAACTACGATACCGTGTTTTGCCTGGATATATAAACAGTATTTTATGACGGGAAACAAAACGTTAACGAGGCCGGTTATTAAAAGATTAAGAAAAATTGTTAATTGTCAAGGTAATTCATGGAACGAAACTGTTTTCGTATTTGTTATCAATATACCATGGGTTTCTGAGACTAAAATTCTGGAGGAAAACATATTGTTATCACTGTTTTGTCGAGGCTGATGATATGTTTCATATAGAGATTTTGCTCTCGAAAATCAACGGACAATGTTTAACAGTTAAGCGACCTTGGATTATGATTCAAATAAGATTTATATTGAGGTCATTGGATGATCTTGATGAATTTATGTTTTTAAAATATTTTAATTGTGTTAAAAATTACTTAATTTTAGATACATACAAGCAAACAAACCTAAGAGCCGTTTAATACGTACAGTTTTCAACTAACAAGTTTTGCAGCTAGCAAGCTATGAACAGCAGCCTTAACAAATTTATTATTAAGGCCACTGTTTACATTTCAATTTTTTTTTTAAATATAAGCAGATTTTTTTGTAAATTTACTAATATTTCTTTTACCACTCCAACTAAGCTCTAGGCTTGTGCTAGGATATGGTTTACGACAATAGTCGAATGGCGGGATTCGAACTCCCGACCTCGTGATCGGAAATCCGTACCCATAACCATTAGGCTATTGACGCTTGATTTCAATATTCTGTTATATTTTAAACATAAATATAATTTTACACGTAGATTATTCGAACATTTCTCACTGAATAATAACGATTATTCCACGCATGTACGTGTAAACGAAGCGTTAATGGAACGCAAAGATTATTCCTTGTTAGAATTGGTTTTGTGCCTACGCCTAGCTTATAAATTGTTTATTGGAATAGACAAAATGCTAGGTTCTTATCGGAAATTGGTTTGATTGCGTAGATGTATGAATGTTGAAGAAGCAAGAGAGGTGTGTCAGGACCGCGCCAAAGGAATGTCCGGTGTCTCTGCCTGTTCCTCTAAGTTACGGGCTTGAGTTATATAGTTGTAGTAGTTTTTATTTTGATTCGCTTAAGGGTCTTTTTCATGATGGTCTGGCAGAAGCCTTGATATGTAAATTTCTTCGTTTCTTTGTTTATTATTCGTGACAAATTTGTTTTATGGTACTCTTTATCTTTTGTTTTTTAATGATACGCTCTAATTTATTCGTAACTTTTTATCATTCAGTGGAATTGTATGTACTTAAGACTGTTTTTATTCTTTCCTGCAATAATAATTTGAGGTATTTGAACTGATGTTTTTCATTCATGAGGTTAATTAAAGGAAAAATCATTATAAATATTATCTGGTACTTTCTTCACAAGGCAACGTAATTATTTAATTCGCTAAGCGACTTACACATCGCAATCCCATTGCGGTTGGTACACAACGCGCGTCGCCGACATTTTTCTCTCGCCAAAGCCAGTTGCTCGCAACCTTTGTCAAAATCATCGTAAGAAAAGTCTCTGCGATTTTCATCATGGCGAAGTAAATCTATACAGTTGATCTGTATCGCTATGACTGTACTGACCGAATAGAATAATCGCGTAAACGATACAACATTGTTTGAACGGAGCGCGCAACGCGATTCTCGCGACGAAGTCATATGCAATTAGTCTCGACGACTTTTATTGTCTTGTGTACGATAAGCCTTACGATTAATTTATCACTTACTAATAGTAATTTTCATATTAAGTACATTTTTGCACTTAGATTGTTGCATTTGCTAATTCATATACGCCGAATCAATATTTTCTGCGAACAATTTGCTATATCTATTAGATACGACTGACTCTTCGGTTCTCATGTTTTGTTAAATCAAACAAAAATTTGAATTTAAATGTCTAGTATCTTCAAAGAAGCACCACGTAACACGCAATTCTTCTATCCTTAATGTAAACGGTAAAAAATGATATTATTCCAGTGATGTCAGAGAGGTCATCAAAAATACATTAGCGTGATGCAAGTGTTTTAAAAAATACCATTCGGTGTCCTTTGATCCTTGCTTTATTTTATGTTTAAAATATTTTTGTTGTCACTTTATTATACCTTTTATTAGGGTGTAGTTTCCAGTTTCATTATTCGGTCTTTGAATATTAATGAATATATTTGAACTTATACTCGTAATCAAAAAAGTAGGCAAAGATTATGTATTTCGAATCGTCGATCTTTTTTCCACATCAGTACAGATAAGCGATGGTTATGGATACTACTTTCCTACTTTCATTTCAATTATTTCTTTAACACGGCGCCGTTGACAAATCTTTACTTTATCTTACTTTAATATAAAAGAGAAAGTTTAGTTGGATGTTTGTTTAAAGGTATCTCGAGACCGGCCACTTAAATTTGGCATAGTTGTAGAAAATAGTTTGGAAGAAGACACAGGCTACTAATTAAGTCTTTTTACCGCGCGGAGGGAGTCGCAGGCGGCAGCTAGGACCTACATACTTACAAAACTTGTAGGCATCTTAAATTTGGCTTGATTTAAATGTAAACACTTTCTGATTTGGTATCTTAAATACGTACATGTTTGATAAAACACCCGCATGACGAACGGCTCCGTAAACAACCAAAATACTATGTTAAGTTTGGAAGAGATCCAGTTTCCAATTTGTGCATCAATACAACCAAAGTCAGGAGGTTATTGGATACGAACGAAGTACGTTAGGTTAAGTTGCTAAGAGAAATCTACGCTAAGTGACTACTTAAATAGTTATCAAACAACTATAAAACTTCTATATGTAGAAAACAACAGAGTATTATTGAAATAGAACTTTTGAAAAGTGACTCAACTCTAACTGAAATACCAAATCACTTCACAAAAGTTGTCAAAGGGAGAAATTTAAGCAAAGATAACGCAGATACTCCTTTGTTCAAGTACATATGAGTTTTGTGAGTATATATGTTGTTAAATAACTAAAAACTTCCAGATGGTCTCACGTTAAGTTTAACATAATTTAATTACTTAACAATTACTCTTAAGTATGCTACGACAATACAAAAGGCAGCGACATACGTATGTTTAATTTAAGGGAAATGTATCTCACGTATTTCGTCTTCAAAACGTTAACAGTACGTTAATTGAAATTTTCGCGAAACCGCGAACTGAAACTAAACTGGAACGAATACGTTAATCACAAAAGTTCATTTCGAAAGCTTTGAGAATTCTCTTTGTACTGATTTGCATTGACAATATGACTTTGACGTACACTGAGAAACATTAGAAACGTTTTGTTTAGTCTCTATATTGTTCTTAAATATAAATATTTTACTATTGTTAGGGGGCCTTCAAGTAAAGAGCGTACATCTCCCTTAAAAACCGCACGCATATGTGGTCTGGCATTGTGGACGCCCATGTGCGTCGGATCGAATAATTTTAAATGATTAGCTACTCCTGTGACTCTTTCTGCTATAAAAAGGGAATAAATACAATACAAACTGATTAAAATTCTCATGAACAAAATTGCGATATCCAAATGTTTTCATAGATGTTTCAGCAGTGAAAACTGATGGGACCAAATACTAAAAACAAATGACCTACTTCATTTTTATCTCGCTTCTATGTGAATGGGTCCAAGAGAATAAGCGGATCGGTTTGTTTTACGATTTAATACTCTGCTCTATGTCATTAGGTTTGTGGTTAAACAAATATTTAATTTACAGTAAACCTAACTTAATCGTAATTTAAATAGATATTGTTAACTAGTTTTAAAAATACCAAAAAAACATCAGAATACATAATAATATACATACATATGTACATACGCTAAAAACATTGAACTTATATATTATTATTTTTTTATATCATATGGTGGCAAACCAGCGACCGGCCACCTGAAATCGCTGAAATAGCGAAGTGACCGTTGCCCATAGACATACTCAATTGCATATGCGTTGCCTACCTTTAATCGACGGAGGAGAGGATGCACAGAAAGAAAATAATTCCCTTCCCATGCATCCTTTCATCCGGAAAGTCCACTTCAACTTCCCATCCTTTCCTTATAAGGAAAAGTGTGGGAAGGGAAAGAGGACTAAATTAGGCCTCCGGGACGCAAAATATTAGTCATACGTATGAGTCGTACTAATACAATGGTATGAGTATTACATAAATTATAGTACATAAGAGTTCTACACTCGCTTGTAATAACAAAAGTCTAGGAAAGTATTTGTGATTGGTTAATATAAATAATCTATTAAAAAGACTAAGTCTAAAAATTCTTCATAACTGTATAGAGCTTTCTGGATAAACCATGATTTTAATGTTTTAAAATGACGCGAGGGTTGCCGCTACCATCTATATATTGACAATATCTGCTCACATACTTATATATTGTATACATACGAACAAACATTATAATTATTTTGGCTATTAATCTCATCTGCCAAAGAGAGATATCGACAAAAAAGTAAACAAAAGTCTATAGTTGAAAGAAATCGCTATATCACGTTGCCAGTATTATAAAAATCTTTAATACAATTCACGATGACTCCATAGTATTCGATGTTTGTTTTTATAATTGCCCTTTTAAGCGGCTTTAGGATCAGATAGAATGAAAAATGATTGTGACATATTGAGCAAGGCGATCAATCACTCGAGAACCTCAGCCGAATCCATCATGCGCAAAGACATTTTGAATATTACCTACATTTATACTTTGATTACAACATAACGATCACAAGCAAATAAACGCTTCGATAAACATGTCTCTGGATGATCGATTATGACAATATAAACGTATTTCAATAATAACTTTATCTTTAATCTATGAACATATGTATCTCCCAATTGTAATATTAATTTCTTATCTTTAGTAATATCATGTTAATGAAGAAATCAAGACAAAGATTATCTTCTTCTTCTAGTGCCTCTTCAGTTTTGAAGGTTGGCCACTTACTTGGAATATTTGGTTCTGTCAAATGCTAGGCGGAACAGTTCCTCCGCTGACCTAATCCCCGTCCACTCCCTAATATT